GCTGCTCCTGCAGGGAGGAGATGCCCACCGAGATGTCACTGCCACGGCCTCGCCATTCACCTTCCCATGCCACTGGGCTGGGGTGTGGGCAAGGAGAGCATCTACCGTTGGTCTGCCACCAACACATCCCTCTGCCCCACAGTGCTCGGGGACGGCTGCGTGCACCCAGTCCTCCCCAGGAACACTGAGTGGGGCCAGCGGGAAGAGCCCTGGAATGGGGTGACAAAGGGATGTCCCCAGGACAGGGAAGGACCAGGGGATGCCCTGGGGTAGACTGATCCCTGCAGCCGCAGAGCTCAACGAGTGGCTCTCTGTAGACAGCAACAGGCTCCGTCCCAGGCACTGCCAAGCCCTGTACCGGGGGTAACGCAGGGTGCATGTCCCCAACCCGTCCTGAGGGCCACCATCACGCCAGGGTGACACACACGACCACACACTAGGAGCCTCAGCGAGGCCGGGGAGCCCGGTACCTGCACTTTTGCTGATGTAGCCGTTGCCATCCAGGTCGTACATGCTGAAGGCCCACATGAGCTTCTGCTCCAGCTTCCCACGGGAGGTGACGCTCAGGGCGATGATGAACTCTCGGAAATCGATGGTGCCGTCGCCGTTGGTGTCAAAGGTGCGGAAGACGTGCTCGGCAAACTTGGAGGCATCGCCATAGGGGAAGAAGTTGGCGTAGATCTTCTTGAACTCCTCCACGTTGAGGATGCCGGAGGGACAGTCCTTTAGGAAGCCCTTGTACCAGCCCTGCAGCTCCAGGTCGGAGAATTCAGTGTTTTCCCGCAGATCCTGGAGCATCTCAGGGCGCAGTTTGCTGTTCTGCTTCCCCATGCCACTGGGATGCTCCGGCTGTCCTGGGGGACGAGTGCTGCAGTGGGGCAGGTGCCTGGCCTGGCTCGGAGGTTCTCTCTGAGCTACAGGAGGGAAGAGGGACAGGGCAGCGCTCCCTGGCAGCCCCCAGACACCCAGGCAGACGCTGATGCTGTCCCCTCCATCCCCACTGCCCTCTCTGAGCCGTCGGGGCCAGCCCCAGGGGCCACCCAACGCTGGGCAGCGCCAGCCCCCTTGCGTTTGCGTAATAAGCCCTTATAGCTCATTTGCATAATATATAGGCGATATATAGCTGGCATCAGGAGGGTAGAGCAGCCTGAGGAGGGGAAGGGGCTGAGTTTGGCCCCCGCAGGGCGCGGGCTGGGGCTCTGGGTCCAGCCCAGCTTTGGGGCTGAACGGATCTGGGTCAGCTCCCTTGGAGGGAGGGTTATTTTTGGCTTCTCCGCTGCCTCCATTAATATTTGATGCCTCTGGCTGGCACTGGAGCCCCGGGGAGGGCCGGGGGCTGCAGGTCTTTGCTTGGGGCCTCCTCCCTGCTTTGGGGTGCCCACACCTCTGGGGGACCCAGCGCATGCCATCCCACCAGGGTGACCCCCGAGGAGCACAGAGGGGCTGGGAGGAGGTCATGGTGGGTGCCCAGCATCTGGCCATGTACCCAGGTCCTCACGCTGGGGGCTCTGGGGGGACCCTAACCTGCTGCCCCCACCCC